GGACCTCGGGACGATGGTCACCGATGGTTAGCTACACTGAGTGATATGGCTGGGTGTCAAAAACAGTGGCGCTCGTGCATCCACTCGTTATTTACCTAACACCACTCTATAGGTATTCCCCATGTTCCTCTTGAATTTGCTTCGGCATTCCAATCTTCATTTCAGTCTGTTATCCAAATGGGCAACCAAAAGACAGCAACCAAAACCGGCGCACGAAAGTGCATGGTTAATGGTTGTAAAAACTGAAACTGAAACTGATGCGATGCTCCCACTACACGCGGGCGTGTTACGCAGACAACGGTTGTCGAATACAGATAGTCGCTGGACGTGATCTGCTCGGGTAGGCCAGGTCTCGCAGCCATAGAGCAACACGGTGCGTACCGTTACGCAATACACACGCCCTTTCAGTAAGAGATATATCGCTCCGGCGCCAGAGATGCCGCAGATTAGCAAACGCTAATGTAGCTTTGATCACGCGTGGAGAGATCTTCTCGCCCACACCTCCACCGGTCGTTATGCAACTCCCAAGGTAGACAAAACTTTCGACTACTCCCAGGGTGTCATTACCCTCCGAAAGTGTAGGAATGGGTTCCTGCCAATCTCTCAACAACACTTAGCACTTCGAAGGCGCAAAGGACATACCAAAGTGAGTAACCTCGATTGCGAAATGGTTTAACGAGTCCTGAATTGTTGGTGCGTGGTCACCGAGTAAGGCAATATCATCGGCATACTCTAAGTTTACCACTCTGTCGCCAAGAAGAAGCTCCACTCCAGCGTTCCTGATGTTATGTAAAGCGTTTTGTAGAACATTATCTATGGCAAAGTTGAAAAGAAACGGATAGATAGGGCAACCCTGTAGCACCCCACTGGTGACAGGAAATGAGGGTGAGGATTCACAATAGGCCCTAATCTTCCCCGAGGTATGGTGATAGAGCGCTTTTAGGAGTGAAACATACTTCTCAGGTACTCCGTATCTCCGTAAACAGTTCCACAGTGCGAGGAAATCGATACAGTTGAAGGCCGCTCTGATGTCGAAAAACACAACAATGGTTTGCCGTCTGTATGCGTGGTGGTGTTCTAGTAGCTGTTACGATTCGTATGGTTTCTAGTTAGAGAGCATGACTGCCGTAAGTAAACATGTTCTTGTGTTTCGTGTGCCATTTCACAAACATGAGGGGTTGTTTGTGGCCTTCAGTGTCTGGATAACACTCTTTGGAGTCCGTGAATTTGCATACAAAACACAAAAAATGTTTCATTAAATTAAATTTTGTCACCAAGATTGCATGCGGTGACCAGTTTGACTACTGTTATAAAAAATTGGGATAAACGGCATGATGTTCGCAATAGTGATTCATACGAGAAATTACCACGAGATGGGAGGAAGCATCTAACCAAGTTCCCAAGCCTGGTTGGACTCTGTGATTCCGTATGAAGCTCACGAAACTAACCTGGAATGTCGGTTGTCATTAGCCCTTGGATGCACAAAACAATAGTACAGTGATGTGATGTAATGTGATGTGTCCACAGGAGTTCTTTAGGGATTGGATAACCGATTGCAGTTGTCTACATACAAACAAACTGTCGGTGATGTTTTTCAGCTATTGGTCATATTATTTCACACAAAAAAAGCTTACATGTATCGTCAGGCATCCCTCAAAGTGGGAAAAAGGTCAACGGAAGATTAGCAGATACAAGTTTCGTCAATACGGTAGTTTTATGAGCAAACAGTAGGACATACATTTGAAGTGAATCACATTATCAATCTGGTCGATTTGTCCACTGAGTCTATCCTCACTTATCATTTGTGATGCGATCGCTTCAGCCTGAAAGGTTCAAATAGGA